TGACGGTAGTCCGCCTGAGGGGACTACCACCGGTGGGCAGGAGCAGCAGCCCCAGCAGCAGCAGGACCAGCCCCAGCCGCAGCCGCCGTCCCAGCAGCACCCGCCGCAGCCGTGGGCTCGTCTCCCGCCTGGTTGGCCCGGCACCTCCGGAGGCGGTGGCCGTGGTGGCGGCCCGCGCAGCTTGGCGTCTACCAGCGGCTCCAGTGCTGTGACCTGCCAGTACCAGCTTCAGACCGGGCCTCTCCGCGGCACTCTGTGCCGCCGCCCGCACCCGACCGCCCGCTGTTTCCGCCGCCTCGACGATCTTTTTCGTCGTCGCTTTGGCCCGGCCCCGGACCTCCCTGACTGGCACAGCCTGCTCCGCCAGGGCGTGCCGATCTTTGAGTTAGACATGGATCAGATAGGTGCTGCTTTGCATGCTTTGTATGCTGACGCTTCAAGTGTTGCTGGATCTTACTACCCTGTGTACTCTAGTTTAGGTGTTTCACCCTTGTGTAGCTTAGCTTCCCCTGCTGCGACAGGCGTAGGACTGCCTAGGTTGCCTAGTCTAGTCGCTGCACCGGCTCCGTCCCCGGCCTCCGCCACTGCGTCGCTGTCCTTCACTCTCGACTCTGGTGCTTCTGCCTGCTTCTTCCGCGACCGTTCCACGCTCACGCCGCTTGCTGCACCTGCTGTTGTCTCTCTCGCTGACCCCTCTGCGGGTCAGGTCGTCGCACGCAGTTCTACGTCCCTTCCCTGTCCGGCAGTTCCCTCGGGCTCCCTTACTGGCCTCCACGTTCCCTCGTTCTCCAGGAACCTGGTTGGTGTCGGCTGTCTCCAGGACCTCGGCGTCACCACCACGTTCCCCGGGCACGAGCGGTTCGCTGTCTGTTCTGAGGCTGTCTCAGGTTCCCCCCTTGCGACGTTCCCCCGGGACCCGGTGTCCGGTCTGTTTACCCTACACACCGCTTCCCCCCCGGTTGGTGCGTCCTCCCAGGTCGCTGCAGCTTGCTCGTGTCGGTCCCTCACTCACCCCTCCCTTCTCTGGCACCACCGCTTAGGTCACCCTGCTCTCCCGCGTCTGCGTCACATGTCCCAGCACGGTCTTGTCTTAGGTCTCCCCGCGTCGCTCCCTGCCCTTCCTCCCTCGACTGCGCCACCGTGCACGCCTTGCGTCGAGGGTCGGCTCCGCCGTGCTCCTCACTCCTCCTCGCTGCGTCCTGCTACTGCCCCCCTTCAGACCCTGCACTTGGACGTTTGGGGCCCTGCCCCCGTCCCCGGACCGCGCGGTGAGCGCTACTTCCTTGTGCTCGTCGACGACTACACGCGCTACACCACGGTGTTTCCCCTGGAGCGGAAGGCCGACGTGCCCGACGTTCTTCTCCCGTGGGTTGTGGCTGCGCGTCTCCACCGCGGTCTCCCCGTGTTGTCTCTCCACTCCGACCGTGGCGGCGAGTTCGCCTCTGGTCGGCTTGGACAGTTCTGTCGTGCGGAGGGCATCACCCAGTCGTACACGTTGCCGGACTCGCCACAGCAGAATGGGGTTGCTGAGCGCCGCATCGGCTTGGTCATGGAGGTCGCCCGTACCTCCATGATCCATGCCGATGCCCCCCATTTTCTGTGGCCGTTCGCTGTTCGCTACGCGGCTCACCAGCTTAACCTGTGGCCACGCTCCCAGCGGCCGCAGGTTTCGCCGACCCTCCTTTGGACCGGGTCCCCCGGTGACGCGTCTGCGTTCCACGTCTGGGGCTGCATTGCTCACGTTCGTGCCTCTGGCACGGACAAGCTCACTGCCCGCACTGTCCCCTGTGTCTTCCTCGGTTTCCCCCTGGACTCGTCTGACTGGCTTTTCTACCACCCGCCGTCTCACCGCTTCCTCCACTCTCGTGACGTCACCTTTGACGAGTCCGTCTCCTTCTACCGCCGCTTCCCTCACCGAGGTCTCCCAGTTGCCCCCCCCCTTTTCCTTGCTCCCTCTCCCCCGGTAGCCCCTGCCCCTCTCCCGCCTCGTCCTGCCCCGTCTGGTGTCTCCCACGTCACTCCCCTCCCGTCGGTTGTCCCCGTTGAGGAGTCTGCTGACTCTGGTGGTACCCCCGGTCCGTCCTTGCCGCGTCCCCCTTCCCCGGTGCCTCCGCCCCCACTGTCGCAGTCGCCGACCCCGCTGCCGTCGCCGTCGCCGTCGCCGCCGCAGCCGTCGCCGCTGTCGTCGCCGCCGCCGCCGCTGTCGCTGCCGCAGCCGTCGCCGCTGTCGCCGCCGCCGCAGCCGTTGCCGCCACTGCCGCTGCTGCTCTCAGCCCCTGGGGGTGCTGGTGTGGAGGAGGGTGTTCGTCCTGCGGCTTCTGGGGGTGCCGCTGGTGTTGGAGGGGGTTCTCGCTCTGGGGGTGTTGGTTCTGGGGGTGCTGCTGTTGAGTGTTCTGCCGACGGTCGTTCTGCCTCTACTGGTCCGAGAGTTCCGGCCCAGCCGTCGTCGCCGCCGCAGCAGCCGTCGCCGCCGGTTTCCGCTCTCCGCCTGCTCGGCCTTCCCTCCCCGGACCGCGCGCCGGTGTCTCCCCCACCGCCTCCTGACCTCCCTGTCTACGGTCCTGTGTTCCCGCCGCCAGACTCGTCTCCGGCCCGTCTTCCTCCTCGTTCCCCTCCTGTGTCTCCTCCGCTGTCCCCTGACCCTACCCCTCCGTCTCACGTTTGGGCTCGCCGTCCCTCCCGTGCTCGTCCCGTCTCTCCTGTCCTGCCCACCCACCCTATGTTGCTCCGTTCCCACTCGTCTCGTCCTCCCCTCCTCCCGTCCCCTCCTCCCTCGTCCCTTGCTGTTGCACCTCCTTCGTTCTCTGACTACCTCCGTGCTGCTCGTCCCCTTGTCCCTCGGGTCCTTGCCTCTCTTGTTACCGACCCTGCTGTTCCTGTCTCGCGCCTTGACGCGCTTGTCGCTGCTGTCGCTGACTTCGCTTCTACCCGCCGCCTTGACTACGCTACCGCTCTGGTCTCTGACTCTGCCCGTCCTCTGTCCGTCGGGGGTGCTCCTGCCCTTGGCAGTGACGTCCTAGAGGACAGGCAGTACGAGCTGGCTTTCCTTTCCGAGGCTGCTCCCCATCTCTGCTCCATGCTGTTAGTCCCTGAGGGTGACCCAGACGCCTTCGACATCCCGACCCCTCGCACCTACGCTGAGGCCACCTTGGGACCTTGGGCCTCTCAGTGGATAGCTGCCATGGAGCAGGAGATGGCATCTTGGAGGTCCACTGGCACTTACGTCGACGCAGTTCCCCCGCCTGGGGTGAACGTAGTCGATGGTCGGTGGCTCTTCAAGGTGAAGCGCCCCCCTGGAGAGCCGCCTGTCTTCAAGGCGCGCTACGTGGCCAGAGGTTTCAGTCAGCGCGAGGGGGTTGACTTCTTCCAGACCTTCGCCCCGACCCCGAAGATGACCACTCTTCGGGCGCTGCTACACGTAGCAGCACAGCGTGACTACGAGCTTTACTCCCTCGACTTCTTTACTGCCTTTCTTCACGGTAGCCTACACGAGCAGGTCTACCTGCGCCGACCACAGGGCTTCACTGGTACCTTCCCTCCTGGGACCCAGTGGCTTCTCAGGCGCCCGGTCTACGGCCTGCGTCAGGCTCCCCGCGAGTGGCACGACACGCTACGTGCCACGTTAGCAGACCTGCAGTTCTTTCCGTCCTCTGCTAACCCTTCACTGTTTGTGCGTTCCGGCCAGACTCCGTTCTACATCCTTGTCTACGTAGACGACCTGGTCTTCGCTACTCCTGACAGGGACGCACTGGCCTCTGTGAAGGCTGAGCTGCTGAAGAGACACACCTGCACTGACCTTGGAGAGCTGCGTCGCTATCTTGGCCTGCAGATCTCTAGGGACAGAGCAGCACGCACCATCACTCTGACCCAGTCACACTTGGTGCGTCAGGTCCTTCAGAGGTTCGGTCTTCAGTTCTCCTCCGCACAGCCCACACCTCTACCCGTAGACCATGGGCTCTCTGCTCCCGTTCCTGAGGAGCCAGTAGAGCCCAGTGGCCCCTACGCAGAGCTGGTGGGTTGCCTCATGTACCTGATGACTTGCACTCGCCCAGATCTCGCATACCCTCTCAGCATCCTGGCTCGCTTTGTGGCTACAGGCAGACACCGACCTCAGCACTGGTCTGCCGCTAAGAGGGTTTTGCGTTATCTTGCTAGTACATCAGGCATGGGGTTAATGCTAGGAGGACGCAGGCCAGTGGTCCTTACTGGGCACACAGACGCTTCTTGGGCAGACGACGCTGAGACGCTCAGGTCGTCGCAGGGCTACTGTTTCAGCCTTGGTTCGGGTGCTATCTCTTGGAGATCCACTCGCTCGTCGTCTGTGGCTCAGTCTAGCTGTGAGGCTGAGATCTACGCTGGTGCCATGGCGGCACAGGAGCTCCGCTGGCTGACCTTCTTGCTCACTGACTTAGGTGAGCGGCCTAGCTCTGCCCCGGTCCTGTACGCTGACAACAGGGCCATGATACTCCTGTGTCAGGAGCCTCGGCTTGAGGGCAGAGCGAAGCATATCCAGCTGCGGTACTTCCTCCTACGCGAGCTACAGCAGCGCCGCCAGGCCCGCGTAGTTCACTTGGCCTCAGGTGCCAACACAGCTGATATCTTTACTAAGGCGCTTGCGCCTAAAGATCATCAGCGGCACTGTGTACAGCTCGGTCTTGTTCCTATAGCTGCTCCCCTGTTAGGATCCTGATTGTGTACTCTCTATTATATATGCTTGTCAGACTGGCCTTGTGGCCTTACCTCCAGTGGCTGGACTAGTAGTGCCACCCTGGCTTGCTTCAGTTTTGGTTGTATTCTTGCTGACTGGTCTCCAGACCCCTGCCTCAGTGGTTGGACTAGTAGTGCCGCCCTGAGCTGTTTGCTTCTTGTTTAGTTTCACCCCTTGTCTAGCCTAGGGGGTGTGTCAACTTATACATATTATCTATGTAGAAGTTATAGGCTAGACTGAGGTATGCTTCTAGTGAGTACAACCAACTAGTATTTGTTCTAGGTTTCCACCTCTAGTAATCATTCTGTGTTCTAGGTTAACAGTTTGTACCCTCTACAGAAATGTTCAGTAACAACCTACCAAGCCTATATTAAATTATAACTTATATAATTTTAACACCCTTGCCTTGCGGACACTCACCCTTGCTTTGCATCCTTAAGTTCAAAGAACCAGGGCAAGCAGAACACCCTGGACAGACATGTGCCCGAGCAGGGTTAAGAGAGAGACACATTGTCCCCCAATACCATCAGGCCCAACATTGTATAAGCAGACCGGAAGCCGCCTCAGGCCCGCGCCACTCGAAAGCACGCCGCATTGCCTTCCACGGGCCAGATCGTCTAACTGCGGCCACAACCTCAAGATGCTTCCCCGCTGCTCGAGGCTGCTGCATGGAGGCTGTCCGACCTAACCGTGGCCCGGTTACTCCCTTTGAACGACGCCATTGCCGCGATCAGCTGCGCGCGGCCCAAGTTCCCCTCGGGATGAGACTGCGCCTGCTCTTTCCGCTTGACCGTCCAGACATACACGAGCGCTGCCACGGCGCCTGCCAGCAGCAGCACCGCCAGGCCCACGCCAATGCCTATGCCCATGTACAGGCCTGTGTTGCTGCCTCCATCCGGCGGGGGAGAAGTCGGGGCGGGAGGAGGGGGGGGAGGGGGAGCCAGGGGAGGTGGGGGTGGGGACGGGGGGCTGGGAGGAGGCGGAGGGGATGGCGGAGGGGGCGGCGGAAGCTTCACTTGGTAATTGATGTCCACGGGCTCTGTGAGCGCGAAGAAATAGGCGCTGTTGAAATTGTGGTACTTGAAACACTGTGCTTGATCGGCGCCACCTTGAAGAAGCAGCGTCTGCTGGTCTATGCCCCCCTGTAGATTTATCTGAGTACACTTCCGTGGAAAAGCCAATAGAGGTTGCGAAACGTTAAGACCCACCTGGAAGGATCCCGCTCCAAAGTCAGTCCCTCCCAGATCCAGTACGCTCAACTCTTGCTGCTGCGCCGCTGGGCCCACGGGGGCGCTGGGGTAGATGCGGAAGGACACGATGGGCGACAGGAACGCGAGGGCCGTGGCGTACACCGGCGCGCCCTGCGCCGAGTCCGCGAACGGCCACGTGCGCGACGTCAGAGGTGCGGACAAATCGCCCTGCTCGAGCCGCAGGTATAGCAGAGCAACCTTAGGGGAGTAAGGCGTCAGCGTGCCCTCTCCGTTCATCCGCAATCCTTCCCAGTCAATCCCGTCATTCAGATCCGCCGCAGCGCGCAGTCGGACCTTGGCCGTGGCCACCACGCCTGGCGCCAGGAGCGGGCGGAGCGCAGCAGTGGGCACGTCGCTCTCCGCGCCGATGGACATGACGGCCACAGCAGCGAACATGGCGGGCTTCAGCGCCGCCATCGCGCGCTCCCACGCGGAGATGGGGGGGGAAGGCCCCGCGGGAACGGGTGGCGACGACGCGAGGTGCCTTCGTCGAGCATCTTTTGCGACGAGAGTGCGTCTAGAAACGCTAGTACGCACGGCATCAGACGGGTTAATATTGTCGCTAACAACCAGCAACGGGTGTAGGTGATTCCTGGCAGTCTGCAGAAGCTCCGCTTGAGAGGGATGATGGAGGGTGTACAGGATTGTCAATGCTAAAACACAATGAGAAAGACAGCTACGCAAAGGGCGGATAGCCATGGGGGGACGGCTGCGAAAGGCCACTAGTGAATGACTTGGGTGGTGAGTTACCTGGGTAATTCTGGAGTGAGAGCAGCAGAAACCGAGAAGGCCAATGCCCACTGTACTCTCGATTGACTCGACTCGATCAAGTGGGGTCGTCTCTCCCGTGATGCTTAAGGGGGTGGTTCGGTCGGTTCGGTCGGTGCTTGGGAATGAGATGAGGTTGAATGCTCGTTCTGGTCCACAGAATGCCGTTGATTGACGGTTGCGATTGCGACGCTTTACTGTACTGTTTGTGAGAAAAACGCAGGCTGGGTACTGTGGCTCGGTTCAGGTGATGGCCTCACACCAGCCTCGGGGAAAGGCTTGGCTCTTACCTCCACATGGCCACTAGCCATCACCCCCACAACGACTGTTCCACCTTCGCGACACCCCCATTGTACTGTAGTCCGGCAAACTCGGTAAGGGCGTGTGATTTTTTACAAAGTTGTCAAAAGTTCGTGCTGTCACCACTCTGTACCGCGGTTTTAAACGCCTGCAACCTACCAAATGTTGCTCTAAAAGTTCGTACCCCAACTCATACGCCCTAAGCTGGAAAAATGGACAACCCACAGGCACCTTTCAATCACCTTTTGCAGGGCGACTAGCGCCTACGGCGAATGACAAGGGAGTACATGTGGGGGTGTTCTGTATCAAGTACAGTAGCTGAATGGTACGACGTCACACCTGTGACGTCGATTCACCGCCTCTGACCGCACAGGAAGCTTCTCTAAAATGAGAAAACGCACTGTACCGCGCTATGACGTCGGAGTGACGTCATTTTTCTTGCACCTGATACTTCCCTACTTTACCAGGTCAGCGCCAGATGTTCGCTTCGAACCGACAAGCCCACTGCAAGATCCAGATTCCGGACTAGGTCTGCATTCTACGAGGAAATCTCGCAATTCGAAAAACATCAAGAATGGTTAACAAAGCTCGACCCATTTTTCCCGCGATGTATGGCATGGCCCAGTTACCCAAAACGGTCAACACGCCCCCCCCCCCCACCCCCCCCCCACCCCCCCCCACTGTACCCGTTTTCGTTTTGATGTTACGAATAAATGAAAATGAGATTTTGGGTCGCTGTGAAAACATTTGCCGAATCCCAATTCAATTGTTGCGTGAACATGCATTTAATTGTTGCTGTGCACCCGTCAGATCCGGGTATTTGGCCAAAGCTACCCGTCAGAATCCGTGTTCAGCACTCTGTTCTGTCAAAATTCACCCGTCAAATCCGGGTTTCACAGCCAGTTCTGCCAAAATTCGCCAGTCAGATTCCGGGTTCAAACCCTGTTTTTGGAAAAGTTCCCCGTCGGAATCCGAGTTCGGCGAAAATCTCACCCGTTATTTTGTCAAAATCTGGGTGTTGTGCCCGAAATGATTGCGCGTGCCTTTCTCGAATGTCGTAACCCTTAATGTGTCGTCATTATTTGTCGTATTACTCCATATTGGACCCTACACAGCTGCCAAAAAAAAAATGTAGTGGCATCTGCACCCAATACGAAAGCATGTACAATCAAGGGGGTCGACCGTTTTGGGTAACGGGGGCATGCCATATATCGCGGCCAAGAAGGGTCGACCGTATTGAAAAATTATTGATTCTTGTCGAAGCGCGCAATTTCCTCGCATTCTACGGTAAATTCAAGGATCTCCTCACATACGTGGGTCCTCTTAAACGAGGCAGAATTATTAATTAGGGTAATTTGCTGCCACCTAGGTAACATTGGGCGGCTGATCTGTACGTACAAGATTTGTTCTCTAGCATATAATACGTCATCTTTCTTATCGGCTTCATTACGAACAGTTCTGAATCATCAAAATTTGCGTGGTTTTCCATTCTGATCTACAAAAATATGTGTTGACCATTCAAGACGCGACACATAGGCATAAACATGTTTCAACCCCCCAAACACAACCAAACCCCTAGGTTTAATGGTGGGGGGCCGAAACGAATTCTGGTGTATACCCCTAGCTGAAACGCGATTTGCCGATGTGTCACCTCTAAAGTACGGAAAAACGAGCCACCCCCTCATCAGATCAGAAAACCCCGCTAATGTTGATGATTGAAAACTATTCATGGGGCGTAAGACTAGAAAGATGTTTTTTTGTTGCGAGAACTGATCTACGCCGTACAGATTAGCCGCTCGAAATTGCTAATCTGTTAGCAAATTACAATTTTGTTAATATTTTTACTAGTGTCCCTTCTTCTTTATCCGCGCCCTAAATGACCTAGTCCACCCACCCACGTCCGCCCCGCGTCCTAGCCTACCGCGTCTCGCCGGCCCCTAGAGCATCCGCCGGCCTCACGCGCCCAGCCGGCCCCTCTCGCGCTTAGTCGACCCCTCGCTCCTAGCCAGCCCCTTCGCGCCCAGCCAGCCCCTCTCTCGCCTAGTCGGCCCCTCGCGCCTAGCCGGCCCCTTTGCGCCCAGCCGGCCCCTCTCCCGCCGTAGCCGGCCCCTCGCGCCATAGCCGGCCCCTCGCGCCCAGCCGGCCCCTCCCGCGCCGAAGCCGGCCCCTCTCGCGCCGTAGCCGAGCGCCTACCTGACCCCTTAGCCACTGACCGCGACCACTTCCTCAGCCAGCACCCTGGATTTCTCTCGCTGACCACCTTTGTCGCTGCCCTTTCTGAGATAGAGACTCGCCAGCGCACTATCGCTCAGTCGAGCAGTCTTGCGGCAGTCCCTATCTTTCAGGGGTGTGCTCCTTCTCAATGCACGTACGCTGACCTTTCCACCCCCGTCGCTACAGCTACTCCTGCCCCTGAGACCGCAGAGGTGGCCTTCCCGCAACAGCAGCGACAGCATCGGGGCAGTCGCGGCCCCAAGGGCGGGCGTAGTGATGGGACTGATGGTGGTGGTGGTGGCAGCGAAAGTGGTTCTGACGAGGGGGCTGGGGCAAGTGTCCAGGAGCACCAGCAGCCGCAGTAGACGCCGCAGCAGCAGTCGCAGCACCAGCCGCAGCAGCAGCAGCAGCAGCCGCAGCAGCCATGGGCCCGCCTCCCGCCGGGGTGGCCAGGAGCCCCTGGAGGTGGTGGCCGAGGTGGCGGTCCTCACAGCACGGCGTCTACCGGTGGCTTCGGTTCTGTGGGCTGACAGTACGCCCCTCCGTGGCACTGTGTGCCACTGCCCGCTGCTTCCGCCGCCACGACGACCTCTTCCGTCGCCGCTTCGGCCCAGCCCCGGACCTCCCTGACTGGCCCAATCTGTTGCGCCACGGTGTGCTTGTTTTTGACATAGACATGGATCAGATTAGTTTTGCCCTGCATTGTCTGTCTGTGTCGCTTCATGCCCTCCCTCCCTCGCCTGCGCCACCGTGTAGGCCCTGCGTCGAGGGCCGGCTGCGCCGTGCTCCTCACTCCTCCTCGCTTCGACCTGCCACCGCACCCCTCCAGACCCTGCACCTGAATGTCTAGGGCCCAGCCCCCATCCCTGGACCGCGTAGCGAGCGCTACTTTCTAGTGCTCATGGACTACTACACGCACTACACCACGGTGTTTCCCTTGGAACGAAAGGCCGATGTGCCCGACGTTCTTATCCCGTGGGTCGTAGCTGCGCGCCTCCACCACGGTATCCCTGTGTTGTGTCTCCACTCCGATCATGGCGGCGAGTTTGCCTCTCGTCGGCTTGGACAGTTTTGTCGTGCGGAGGGCATCACCCAGTCGTACACCCTACCGGACTCCCCGCAGAAGAATGGGGTCGCTGAGGGCCACATCGGTTTGGTCATGGAAGTGGCTCATACCTGCATGATTCATGCTGGTGCACCCCATTTTCTATGGTCGTTCGCCGTTCGCTACGGCGCTCACCAGCTTAACCTCTAGCCAAGCTCCCAGCTGCCGCAGGTTTCGCCGACCCTTCTTTGGACCCGGTTCCCTGATGACGCATCTGCGTTCCACGTCTTGGGCTGCCTAGCTCACATTCGTGCCTCTGGCACGGACAAGCTCACTGCCCGCACTATCCCCAGTGTCTTCCTCGGTTTCCCACTTGACTCGTCTGACTGGCACTTTTACCACCCGCCGTCTCACTGCTTCTTTCACTCCTGTGACGCCACTTTCGACGAGTCTGTTTCCTTTTACCACCGCTTTCTCCACCGAGGTCTCCCGGTCCCCTGTTTCTGGTTCCCACTCCCCCGGTAGCCCCTGCTCCGTCTGGTGTGTCTCACATCACACCCCTCCCGTCGGTAGTCCCTGTCGAGGAGTCGGCGGACTTTGGTGGCCCCGTGGCGAAGTTCTCGCCGCCTGTCTCTCCCCCGGTGTCACCTCCTCCGCCGCCGCTGTCGCTGCCGCCGCAGCAGCCGTCGCCGCCGCAGCAGCCCCGCAGCCGTCGCAGCAGCAGCAGCCGTTCATGGACTCTGGGGGAGCTGGCGTTGAGGAGGGTGCTAGTCCTGGGGTTCCTGTCGTGGCTTGTCCCGGCGGGCTAGGGGATGGCACCGGTGCTAGAGAGGGTTCTCTCTCCGGGGGTGCTCATTGTGGGGGTGCTGTAGAGGAGTGTTCCGAAGGTGGCCGCGGTGCAGCTGGCGGTCCAGGTCGGCGTCAAGCAGCCGCAGCAGCAGCAGTCGTCGCCGATGTCCGCCCTTTGCCTGCTCGGCCTTCCCTCCCCTGACCGCTCGCCCGCGCCTCCCCCGCCGCCTCCTCCCCTTCCTGTCCACGGTCCTGTGTTCCCTCCGCCGGACTCGTCCCCGGCGCGTTTCCCACCTCGTTCCCCTCCTGCTACTCCTCCTTTGTTTCCTGACGCGACACCTCCGTCTAACGTCTGGTCTCGCCTTCCCTCTCGTGCTCGTCTTGTCTCTCCTGTTCACCGTTCTTACCCTATGTTACTTTGTTCCCACGCGTCTCGTCCTCTCCTCCTCCCCTCGCCTCCTCCGTCGTCTCTCGCTGTCGAGCCTCCTCCTCTGTCTGACTACCTTCGTGCCGCTCATCCTCTTGTTCCTCGGGTCCTTGCCTCCCTCGTTGCCCACCAGTCTGTACCTGTCTCGAGTCTTGACACTCTTGTCCCTGCTGTCGCTGTCTTCGCCTCAACCCGCCGCCTTGACTACGCCTTTGCTCTGGTCT